GTGGACGACTAACGATGTGAAATCCCAAGATTGTGTATAATTAGACATTGCCAGTAAATATTTTATGGAATTGCAGACGTTGCCGAGGATAACACAGGCCTGTGAATTTAAATTTCGTAAAAGTTGTTTTGATTTTAATAACGTATTTTCCATAATTCAGCTACGCAAATTTTTAAAATAATATTAATTTTTTTCTATGATGTAAAGGTTTTTTACAAATCTGGAAGAAGAAAAACTAATTACTTAGATCACATTATTATTTCGTTTACCACAATGAATATTTTTTATTATTATGTTTGTTTCTCGTGGTTTCTACAACGATCGATAAGACTCTCACGTCGCTATTGGTCTAGAGAAATCTATAGCCAGTGATTGTCAACATTTTAAGCATAACAAAATGTGATCTGATTTCAACGAAAATGATTCACTTATGTAAAAGTACATATGACGTTTTGTGAAAAATCTCTACGTGATGGAGAAAAATGGATATCATTTTCAGCGTACAGGAATTACTGTAAAACACGTAAAAATGTCAAGACAATAAAACCATCGCAGGTCTGTGTAATCTAACATTACTTACACGTTCATGATGATGTATATATATATAAGATGTTGTAAATGAATGGCTGAAAGATTTAAAATTATGTATAGTTATCAGCTGTTACTATGGCAGTATCAAACAATAAAAATCCGTTAATACATATATATATGTATATATATATAAGAAGTTACTTATGGGGGTTCAACATAAAATTTACTGTGATGTATATTTAGAAGATGTAGTAGTCGTAGGTGTCAAAATAGAAAGATCCAAAATTATTTATAGTTATTAGATGTTACTTACATAGCATCTAACATTAGAATACGTGTACATAAATACATCTGCTGTCGGATGGTCAATCATTTAAAAAAAAGTTGATGTATATATAAAAGACGTTGTAGGCGAAAGAGCTAGCATCGAAGTTAACGATGACGTATACTTAAAAGATGTCATTTGTAGATACGTTAATGCTTCCCAATGGCACAGCAGCATGTCTACGGACTTATAACGCTAGAATTCGAGTTTCGATACCTGTAGTGGGCAGAGCACAGATAGCCCTTTGTGTAGCATTGTGTTTAACTACAAACAAACAAAAAAACAAAAGATAACTTAACTTTTGTGGTTAATGAATATGTGCATTTAGAAGATGATACTCATTAAGTATCCATCATAAAAAAATCATATTGATGTGTATTTAGAAGATGTTGCATGTGAAAAGGGTTAAGGGTTTTGAAATACAGAATTATATATAATTATGAGGTATTACTGCCTTTAGATTTAACACTAAAACAACTTGACTATATATAATTAGGTGACATTCTTAATGGAGAGTCCATCATAAATATGTTAAGATGGTGTATAGTTACGTTGTATGTGTTGTTCAACTTTCCATCTAACTCTTCGTACAGTAATAGAATATGTTATAATAAAACGATTCTGCATTATCGCCACATCGTTGTAGCCCATATAGCCACGTACGGCCATGCTGTATCTGACCACCATGCACCTTGACAATAGCTCTGCTTTATAGTTTCCATTGCAAAAGGTTCCGCCAGATGGCTGGCGTGTTCAAAGCACACCGAAGTGTTTTCCGTATTACATCTAACATACGAGGATGTTGGTCTTCTAGCGCCCATTTTAATAGTTTTATTTTACAGAAATCCATAGGTGCTGCATCTGGCGACTTGACTAGTATGTCATGATTATGTTGTGTACTATTACTTGGGGCACAATGGACGACTTTTGGCACTAAACATTATGTTTGTTGATTTCATCTATTACAAGACGCCGCAATTTTCTTGCTACGGCTTTGATATTACTAGCTGCAGGTCTTTTTGTGATGGTCCTGCTTCCCTGATTCATCCATATTCGTTGTTTTCCAATGATATTAAGTACAAGGGATATCCTTGTCTCGAAAATTCTAAGTACCCAATCTGAACACATCTTTATGACTTGGATGTACGAATATTTGTGTCGGAAAGAGCTGTTACATACCCTTCCCAAAAGAGATCAATTTGTCATGGTATCGTATTATCTAATGTAATGAAAATGCAGTTCTGATACATTACATCCCACCATGACTATGTATTAACTGTGGTTGTCACATGACTTGCTGATTTGGCTAATCAAATTCGTTTGAGTATAACTGCTCAACCCTCTGTATTCATGAATTTTCAATTTTTAATCCTACAGCAGTAACATCTTTATTGGAAAAACATTTGAAAAAGTCATGCATAAATTACGAAATCACTTATTTCAAAATGTATAAAGAATACAGCAAATGATAATTTACTTAAAGTTGATAGAGCAAAAATGCTTTATCACCTATAGTAAACACAGAATAATTATTATTGTTAAGAACAGCATATGGGGTCAATAAAAGTCATTGTAGAACTTCCATTTACTGCACATAACTTAGAAGTTAATATAGTAGGCCCGGCATGGTCAAGTGGTTAGGGCTCTTGACTCGCAATCTGAGGGTCGCGGTTTCCAATCTCTGTCCCACCAAACATGCTCACCCTTTCAGCCGTGGGGGCGTTATAATGTGACGGTCAATCCCACCATTCGTTGGTCAAAGAGTAGGCCAAGAATTATAGGTGGGTGGTGTTGACTAACTGCCTTCCCTCTAGTATTTCACTGTTCAATTAGGGACGGCTAGCGCAGATAGCCCTCGTGTAACTTTGCGGGAAGTTCAAACAAACAATAATATAGCAAACAGTGATGTTTTAAAGAAAGAAACCCTAAGTTTTGTTACTTAAGATTCAAACCATTTCTAATCTATCGTGGAATGGTCGAGGAGAAATAATATATCAGATATGGTCAACACTTTGTGGAGAATCTAATTGGACGGAATGGCATTGCGTTGCACAAAAGTTATCGAAATGGACATTTCTTAAGATATGGTGTGTATTAAAGATAGAGGTAGTACATGCAACACTGAATACCCATTTCAATACAAATCCATATAAAAATAATTAGACGTATAGCATCTAGAAGGGATTGTCATTGATAAAGTGTTCTGTACATACTTGGGTTATTCATTGCTTTCATTTACGTTCAACTGTTAAAATCAGTAAACTCTAAGGAGAATCCGGATTAGCTTTGCTTCTCATGAACCTCTTGTGGACAACCTTAAATCTGATTTCACAAATTAAGCTTTAATAAAAAGGTAATGAGGGCTGGTTTAGATTGTGCTTAATATTTTATTTATTAAAATACTTCAAACCCTGATAGGTATGACTGAAATAATTATGTGTATAGAATGGTTAGAACTTTAAATAGACCTAAATTTTACTGAGTAAAAGAATGGTGCCAGTCCGCCTCTGCGAATGACATCTGTAAAGTCCGTCAACGTAGCAAGCGCTCCACGATACTTAACCAGTTTTAGGTGTAACTATAGATAAAAATTAAGTGAGATATCCGACAGCAAATTTATTAAACAGCTAAGTTCAGCTGTTTATGATGTCATTCCAATGACACAAGCCATTGTTGACATTGTGAGGATAGCTCCCTCTGGTGGCCACACAGATCATGTTGCTCATGGTTTCATTTGTTTATCAACCAAGAATTATTGCTCTATGATTAATAGTGATCATTTCATTCATATCCAAACACGCCAAAAACATTTATAAGAACCTAGAAGGTAAATCGTGGGTAAGTAAGATAAGTTACAATGTCCACGTTTGTTAGCCATCTTGTGTAATTGGGTGACAGTTTTATCTGACAGTATTTGTTTTTTGAGCTCCTGCTAAATTAATATGGCATTGTTGTTTGTTCTCATTTAGTTTTGAATGTTCTGTTATTTCGATGAACAGATGTTCTTTGGTAAATATGGGTTAACGACTGAGTTGTTTCTAAAACGTTTATGCATAACCATATTCACAACGGTTTTTAAATGCAAATATATCGATTTTAAAATACGATTTTTCTGGAGCGATTACTTTCTCATCGTGCTTATTTATAATATTAATGCACCATTTAAACTAACATTAATTACTATATAATACATTGAATACTTCAGCAAATAGCCTCATCTTACAAATTAAATCAATTTGAGCTGAAAAAAGTTTATTTTACTGACATTTAGGCTTACACCTTCTTCTGGGTAAATTGTTCTACAGCATCGCTATTAGTGACGAGGCTTAGTAGCTAGAAAAACGTCTAATCGAAAACGGATATTTGTACGATATGATTTTATACACAGTTTCACATCGTGAACACGCACACATGTTGAAATATTGTAAAACGCTTTTTCGAGCAGTTTTGTTTTTTATTTTGATTTTATACCTGTTAGCCATTCTAGCCTTTGAACTAGAAGGAAATCAACTAGTCACCGTGAACTATTGGGATCTTCTGTGATCGAATAGTGGAATGTGACTGTAACACACCCACGGCCACAAAGTGTGGAGTGCGTAAAAAAAAGTTTGTTGGTTTGACCGATGGTGACATCAATAATCAAGTCTTAGAAATGTTAAATTCCTGATTTGAACATATTTATATGATCTGAGTGCGTGAATAGTTTGCGTTAGAAATGATTTTTATTCGCATGCCCAAATGTGATCAATTTGTGTTTGAATCACACTACCTAAGACACGCTACAACAATATCGAAATGTTGTTCTGATACATGCTGTTCCACCGCGACTTAATATCTGCTGTGATCCTCACGTGACTTGCTGAGTTGCGTATTAAATTTTGTGATAATTCTCAACCACCTGTATCTAGTTATAGATATTAGTACATGAATACTCCAGCGTTTCATTAAATTCGGTAGATTTAGTATTTCACTAAATCATCGTAAGTAGTATATTATTTTGCTGAGTGAATTAGGTTTTACTCGACTTCGTTTTGTATTTACTACTCTTTTCATGTCCCTGCTTTCATTTTTTATATGCTAACTTTACCTTGCAATAGTGGTTTTATAACTTTGTAACAACTGCAAAAATTTCACTTTCTCAGTAAACATTTATGAATAAAGTAAGTTTATTCATAATTTGTATATAAATATGTAGCCACAGGTAGCACATATGATAACAGAGCAGAAATATATGCCATATGTAATATATATTTCATGTTCCGTTCTTGCTTTTCTATGTAACGCTGTTTTTTCCTTGCATCACATCCGATGGTGTTTCCACGTCTTCCGGTACTTTCTCCATAACTTGTCCTACTGGAAAGTCCGCAAGAATACGTATATCTGGAGGAAGATCAGCTGCAACAGGAACTTCTGTTTCGGGCTTCCTGTTAACCAGATAAAGTATTTCTACTAGTAACGGACCTGCCTTTTCTACATCCGGTTCTGACTGAAAGAGAGCGTCTTCAAGACCGATGTTATCATTAAGGTAAAAAAAGTATTTAGCCTTAGCACACTGTACCACTTCATCTGGAAAACTGCGGGTTAAGGTTAATTGGTTAAAAACTGTAATATTTCCACACAGGAATCTCCATTGCAAAACCTTCGATTGACCATTAACGTAAGTGACCCTCTGACAGAGGTGGTATGTTTGACAGTTGTTGTCCACGTCAGCAAAATAGCCATTCCCAGGGCACGAAAACGTAGTTTGGAAATCTCCAACTAGATCCTCGGCTCCATCTGAAAGCTCATATGGTCGCCGTTTGTACTAAAGAGAGAGAGAGAGAAAAAAATATATATTTACAGATACGCAACTGGATGAAATATACAGCAAAGGTAGAAATTCCATAACTTATAAAATTGAGTAGGAGCTAGAAATGTTCAATATTTCAACAAGCCAACAGCTAGTGGTGGTACAAACTGACCAGCAAAGAGATAGTAGACAGACGAACAAGCCAACAGCTAGTGGTGGTACAAACTGACCAACAAAGAGATAGTAGACAGACGAACAAGCCAACAGCTAGTGGTGGTACAAACTGACCAACAAAGAGATAGTAGACAGACGAACAAGCCAACAGCTAGTGGTGGTACAAACTGACCAACAAAGAGATAGTAGACAGACGAACAAGCCAACAGCTAGTGGTGGTAAAAACTGATCAACAAAGAAATAGTAGACAGACAAACAGTTCAACAAGAGGCTAGTTTTACTACAAACAGTTCAACAAGGGGCTAATTAAGAAGTAACAGAAACCTAGTCCCTGTTAAAACCAGATGGATGTAACGGTACTGTCATTTTCAATATAAAACATTATTATTAAAAAGATTATAATAATTTAGAGGTTTAAAAAGACCGGTGTCGTAGCAGAGAGGTGCTAAGATGCAAAGATGGAATCATGTTTTAGTTTTAATTGTAAAATCTAAAACCAAATTGAAGGAGTCTGTATGGTAACACTGACAACTTGTTATTGTATTTCCAAGAGAGAGAAAAAAAGAAAAAAGAAAAACGATGACTTATCACTTTTAAGCAACAATAGTTATGTTGATGACGCCTTGGCCATTTTTAAATATAAAAGTGGTGTTTATTTGTTTTCAGCATTAGTTAAATTTTTGGTTGGGTTTATTTTGAATTTCGCCCAAAGCTACACAAGGGCTAACTGCGCTATCCGTCCCTAATTTAGCAGTGTAAGACTATAGGGAAAGCAGCTAGTCATCACCACCCACCGCCAACTCTTGGGCTACTCTTTTACCAACGAATAGGGGGATTGACCGTCATATTATAACACCCCCACGGCTGAAAGGGCGAGCACGTTTGATGAGACGGGTATTCGAAACTGCGATCCCTGAGATTGCGAGTCGAGCGTCCTAACCACCTGACCATGCCGGGCCTAGTTAAATTTTAATGCTAAATTCACAGTAAAATGAATAGGAATTTGAACCAAAGTTACATTATAGTTCATTAATATAGTGACAAAGATTTCAAGATTGGAATATTCCATATAGAGCTACAAAAGTTTTATACAGAGACTGGTTTCCAAGATGGTTATGGTCGCGGATTCGAATCCCTGTCCCATCAAACATGCTCGTCCTTTCAGCCGTGCAGGCGCTATAATCTGACGCTCAGTCCTACTATTTGTTGGTAAAAGAGTAGCCCAAGAGTTGGCGGTGGGTGGTGATGACTAGCTGCCTTCCCTCTAGTCTTACACTGCTAAATTAGGGACGGCTAGCTTGTGTAGCTTTGCGCGAAATTCACACTAAACAAACTGGTTTCCAAAGATAACACCAACCTTCATTCAATCTGGTTACCCCTGTGTTACTGTATGCTTAAGAACATGTGGTATAGTTAATGTCAAATTTATTAATTGGAAAGTAATTGGATATGTGTATTATCCACAATTACAATAAAGATGTATAGTCGAACCACTAATTAATATCAAACATTTTTTATATTTAAAGATGATGTGTTGAAAGGTATGCGTTTATTTGTTATTTATAAATTTACATATCCGTATTGTGAATTGATTATGTAAGGTTCATCGTTATGTGTCTCTTTATTTACACAAATAAAGAGACACCATCAAAATTTAAGAACACGTCGACTATTGAGCATCAATAGTTAGCATCAATGCTCTTCGTGGTGTAAAATGATTAATTCCAACTAGTTTAAGATTCTAAAGAAACCTAAGAGAGAGTAAAAACTTAGAATACTCGAAAGTGTGCTAATAGTTGATCAAAATCCTAGTCTGAACCAACGGGGTTAGTTATCCTTTTATTATTACTATTGTAACATAAATCAACATGGGGAAGCTACAATAACCTCACCAAGATACTGGCGATGATTTTAACAGACTGACCAGGAGCAGGAGTTACTACAAACACCTCTCCAATAAACTGGTGATTATTTTAACAGATTGATAAGGAGCAGGAGTTACTACAAACACCTCACCAAGACACTGGTGATGATTTTAACAGACTGACAAGGAGCAGGAGTTACTAAAAATACCTCATCAATGATCAAGTGAAGATTTTAACAGATTGACAATGAGATGATGGAAATACGAACATATCAACGAGAAGATACGAACGGTAAAAACATCCACCAAGGAAGTAGTTTAACAGATTGACTAGAAGCTAGTGGTGATACCAACAGCTAAACAAGGATTTAGTGATAAAAGTAAATCAATAACAAGACTAGTTCTGCTATCATCAATTTTCAACATACGAATTAACTTATGAGTTTTCCCAGTGCACGTGAAAGTCTTGAGCGTAGATGATTGAGTCTAAAACATGATAACATTATGTAAAAGATACAATATTTCCATTTCTAAACACTCTATTAATGTACAAATCAATACAGCTTAGTAGCACAAGTCACTTATTATAACAGATGGCTCATTGGTAAGCCGATTAATTTCATTACAGTATTTGAACAAAAACTGATGAAACACTTACCCGAGGTAAAGTGGTCACAGTGGCTATACTGCATGCTACTGTAAAATATACAATATTTATTACTACCTCAGTAAGATGTAACTATTACTATTCATCGCAGATTTAACTACTACAATCTCACTCATATGTGATTATTACTACCTGATTCATATATATTATTATTACTATCTCACTCATGTGTAATTATTACTACCTTACTCAGATGCAAGTATTATTTTCTCATTGTAATCTTTACTATATCATTCAGATATAATTATCACTAACCCACTAATATTGAATTATTACCAACTCAATGAGGTATAATTATTACTACCTTATTCAAATATAGCTAGTTGATATATATTTTTTCTTTCCCTTTAAACTATAATTTTCGACGAAATGACACCCTCAGTGACACAGCGGTATGTCTTATGTCTGTGGACTTGCAACACTAGAAACCGGTTTCCAATACCCATGGTGGGTAGACCACACATAGCCCGTTGTGTAGCTTTGCGCTTAACTACAAAAAAACAACCAAACAAAGTCAAGTTTCGTCCAATGTTTTTCTTCTATAAAAAAAGAAATTATTAACTATTATTTGCTACAGAGAAATCACCCCCCCCCCTGAAAAAACTATAGTCTGTTGTCCTTTGCTATACATTTTATTTTATGTTAAATGTTTACTCTGCTTCAACTATATTTATACAACTGTTTTTCCTTTAAAACTGTGATATATTTTTATATGGAATGTAACATCTTTTTCGTTATCTGCTCCATGCTTGCTTCTAATTTGGTTGATAAAGATATTCAAACTGAATCGTGTCAAAGAAAAAATCTAGAAGATAAACTGCAGCCGATAACTGAAGAGTAAATCAAAGATAGTAGTGAGTTAACTTACCCAGGATAATCCACGTTCTCATCTTGTGTTTCAGTTGATGTCTGTAAATAAAATAATTATTAATTTATCCTATAAACGTTAATTGATTTAGAAACGTTTAAATGCATTCTTTTAATTATAATAGGTGCAGTTAACAACATATTGTTGGTGGGAACGTGCTTTATAGTCACTATGAGAAAAACCTATACACTGGATAGGTGAAGTGAAGAAATAGAATCATTGGCCACTATTCAGTTCTTCACATTATATAACCGCACAATAGCAGGTATGATAAATAAACTTAGTATTTTGAAGATTGTTTTAATCTCGAAGTCTAAGTTCAAGGGAGGTCCAACTCAATCTACACTTTGATCAACATGTGTTATTTGGCTATACTAGTTTTTGAGAATTCCACTTCTCATCAGTAACCCTGAACATAAGTTAACCAAACAGAGATAAGCTGGACCTATATCATAGTGAAAACTATCAACCATACTGTTGGTGTGAACGTGCTTTGTAGTCACTATGAGAAAAACCTATACTATGATTATTTGTTACGTTACTCTATAATTTACAATACAAAAAAATCAAAAATAATATGTAATTATCAGGATAGAACCAATTGAAATAATATAAATAAACTATTTTACTCTTACAATGGTTGTTACAAAAATTATCTCAGTAGATACTTATGTAGATTAGTTTAATTTTTTCTTATGCCATCCGTTTGTTTGTTTGTTTGTAATTAAGCACAAAGCTACACAATGGGCTATCTGTGCTCTGCCCACCACGGGTATCGAAACCTGGATTTTAGCTGCTTTGTAAATCCGCAGACATACCGCTGTGCCACTGGGGGCTTATGCCATCTGATTTAAATATTTAAATGCACATCATAAGTACAAACAAAGAATTAGCCTACTTCTAGTACTGAGCATAATTAAAGCCACCATGTCTGTATGTTATGTTTAAAGATAGTATTAATCCCAACAGTTCATAATGTGTAAAGACCGATATTTGTAAAGAAAACGTAACTCGAGTTAAAACATAAAGAACATAGAAATGGAACAACGTGATGTCGTTGTGGAATCAGTTTACTCAGCGTGGAAGAAAGTAAACAATAAGATCCATATAGAAGGTTCGATGAAAGATTGCTTTAAAAACCACGAGCTCAAACGAGGAGTCAAAATCTTCATTTTTTTATCAATAAAGTTTGATACATTAATATATTAAACGAAAATTCTGTATATATTTATATTTGTATAATATAAGTGCAGGAAAAACAATATTATTATTATTCTTTACTTTATACAAAGTTTTTAGGGATCATATCGGACTAATGGTTAGCATACTCTGACTGTGAATCCGATGGTTCGTGGTTCGCAAACCGTTGCGGTTAAAACTCATTCTGCATTTTGGGGCTTTGGAGTGCTACAAGAGGGAATAAATCTCAAATCTCACTACTTAGTCAAACAAGAGTAGCTTAAGAGTTGGCGGTAGATGCTGTTGACTAGTTGCCTTACCACTAGTCCCAAGTTAGGGACGTCTATGCGTAGGTAACCATGTACAAAACTTCTAAAACAAACAAACTTCAGAAGTTATGATATAGCATGGATAAGTTGTTTTCTTAGCTGTCATATCCCCTTTCAATAATCAACGTCACATTTTACTCATTAGTATAAACCTCAGCTGAAATATTAACCTATTTTAGTTGTCGTTACTGTTTTGTATATGGTAAGGTAAATTGTTTTGATAACATTTATGTCAATACTTAGGAAACATTTTGACTTACCTAGGTCAAGGTGATTTTATATGACCTTACACTTGGATCTACCAGTGCCAAACATTAGCGTATTAATTAAACATAATATATTAATACACTGTTTACACCAAACCAGGAATAGTCTACGATTTTTACTTCTGTATCGTTTCGACTATTGGGACAATAGATGCATCAAATATTTACTTACGTACCTCAAGCCGTGAGGTTAAAACTAACTTTCTGGGATAACACTAACTTATATTATAGTACAATAGATACATCAAATATCTACTTACGTATTACATGTCGTGGGGTTAAAACCAAAGGGCTGGGATAACGCTAACTAATATTATAGTAAAATAGATACACCAAATATCTACTTACGTATTACATGTTATGGGGTTAAAACTAAAAGGCTGGGATAACGCTAACTAATATTATAGTAAAATAGATACACCAAATATCTACTTACGTATTACATGTCGTGGGGTTAAAAACAAAGGGCTGGGATAACGTTAACTAATATTATAGTAAAATAGATACACCAAATATCTA